CGAGACTAAAATCTACAGCTGACACAAACAGTGGTACAAACAGTTGTGGATTCTGCTGGTAATGAGAATTCTGAGCCGTCCTGTTACTTCTTTTGTATATAAAATCCTTGTTCTCTCCAGTTTTAAAATGAGTATATGTGCAGAACTGCTACCTGAGCATTTGTGTTAAAAGGGAAATTGAATTAACTTCTTGGTTAAAGGTCAGCATCATGAGTGAATGTTTTTGAAACTACTCTGTGAGTGGCATCAGGAAGGGCTACAAAGTACAGCAAGTTACTTGCAGCCACCAGAAATATATATATTAAAAATGAATAAAATAAGAAGTACTGCACCTGATGAGTTCCAGAGGCTGCTTTGCAGCTGTGTAGGCCTCTGGTTCTGTGACCCAGCCCTGAGGGAACTGGGTGCTGCTGCTCTTTGTCATGTTTCTTCTCCTACCCCATGTGCGTGAGCTGGGCAGGGAGAAGGGCTTTCCCAGTGGGATTCCCTCCTCCTCCTATTTATCTTTCATAATGCAGATTATTTTCAAATATACTCTTTTGTAATCAAACTGGAAAATAAAGATGGGAGTTGCTTAACTAATATAGCAATAATTTGAATAACGTGCACTGCATTTAATAATAAATAATCTCTGGCAACTTGGAAAATAGTGTAAGCCGAGAAGTGAGTGAGCAAATATTGACTCAAACCAACCAACCTGGAAGCAGCATAAAGTAATTACAGAAGTGTGTTTGTTTTGTTCAGTTTCTCAATCAGATCTTTGGCACTGATCATTTTATTTATAATATCTGAATCTTCTTCCTGTGCTGTCAGTTAAGCAGAGCAGCAGTTACTACTTGTTCAACCAGATGCTGTATTTCATTTTTGCAAAGAACAGACCGGGTGGTTTCGTTTCATTTTAACTTGTGACTGACAAATATGAAATGTACTGCATGTATGGCTAAATAAGTAACATCTTTCCAAAACTGCTTGACTCTAACAGGCTATGGAAATGAAAAATAAGATAATGGCAGATTTTAACTGCATGGGTCATTCTTTGCTATACCTTATGGTTGATAACACATTACAGGCACAAAACACAGTGTAAGTGATCAGTTGATTAGAATGACAAATGTGTTCATATAAACAAAAATAAACCTACTGTGTCATTCTGTTCATGTGAATGAAGAGAGATTTTCAAGGTAGGGACTGACAGTACACAAAATACAGTATTAATGGCCTTTTTGAAGGCTCTGCTTTATAGCATTTCCCAGGATGATTTATGTGAACTTTGTTCCACTCTCTGGTTCCTAGGAAGTGTAGTCTGAGTAGAACGTGTTACAGAAAACAATGGAAACTGCTTTGGATTTAATAGTGAAGATCTTTAAAGAATATAACAGATGGTATAATGCACTATTGTGTGATTTTTATGTTCATGGTGGTGTTTTCATTAATTCTGAACGTTTGTCGTCCTGTGAGATAAAACTGTTTGCTACTCTTGCTGAGCCTAGTTCTTATTACTGTTATTAAAAAAAAAAAAAAAAAAAGGCAAGCACACAACGTTTTTGATGGTACTTGGTTTTTGTCACTGCAGTGACTGGGGTCTCAGCACTGAGAAATGGAGCTGTGATGGTGCTGCAGTCAGATCTGATGCTGTGTGTGTCCACAGAGGAATGCTATGTTCACAGCACAGCAGTATCTGAGTTGTACCCACACTGAAATGTTGTACTGAGATTGAAAGGAGAAATCATAATCCATAGCTTCTGTGCTGATGACTTTTAGGATTTGAGTAAGAAATGTGCATACTGAAACAGCCTGCAAAAGAAGACTATCTGGAATTTCATAGAATCATAAAATGGTTTGGGTTAGAAGGGACCTTTAAGATCATCCAACCCAATATATGTGAAAGCTCCACAGATGAAGCACCCAGCATGCAAGCAGGAGAAGGGCTGAGATAATACTTGTGCATTCCTGAGCTGGGGGGATAGAATGCACCTTTATTTTTTTTTTTTATGCCAACACAGCTGAATCTGAATTTTACATAACACATTGCTAAGTGTAATAGCTTCTGACAAATGGTTCCAATGAGCATCACCACTTTGAGAGTATGAGTATTTTAAGATATTTTCTGGATTCCCTCTTTACACCTCCACATGTTACATTATCTAAGAACTTAAAGGTTGGAGTGCACTGTATTTACTCATCATCTTAAGTACTGTGCATAGTGTATGGGGAGGTGCAGAAAGTGAAAGCTTTTGAGTTTGTTCTGAGATACTTTGAGAGCAGATCTCAAAGTTCAATTTGAAACTGCAAGAGTATGGGGAGAAGGAAGAATGGATCCCAGCATCAGTGACAAGAAATCAAAACAGAGACCTCCCACAACAGCCTCAAGCTGAAATTAATGTTGATAAGTCAGTGACTAAAGTAATAAAGGCTTAGTGACTGTCTCTGTACCAGTACTCAAACACCACCACATGCAGTCGGTGCTGGAAAGCTCAAGTCCAGCTGTTCTGCAGTTCCTGATGGAACCAAGAGTTGCTGAAACCACAGCATAATGCTTGGAGATAAGGATTATTCAGATGCATGTTGGGGAGATGGTGTTAACAGCTCAGTACTACGTTTGCAGCAGTGTCTAAATACCAAAGAATGTGGTAGATATTTGGAAAACCAAGGGCTTGGATGAAAGATTTCAGGGCTGATAATTCAGTACCTAAAGGGAGACTACAAACGGGAGGGGAGTCAACTCTTTGAAAGGGGAGATAACAGCAGGACAAGGGGAAATGGTTTTAAGTTGAGGGAGGGAAGATTTAGGTTGGATGTCAGAGGGAAGTTCTTTACTGTGAGAGTGGTGAGGAACAGGCTGCCCAGAGAGGTTGTGGATGCCCCATCCATACCTGGAGGTATTCAAGGCCAGGTTGGATGGGGCCCTGGGCAGCCTGGTCTCGTATTAAATGGTTGGTGGCCCTGCATGTGGCAGGGGGGTTGAAGATTCCTGATCCTTGAGGCTCCTTCCAAGCCAGGCCATTCTTTGTGATTCTGTGTGCTTTAACAGGTCAGCCCACAGTGGCTACTTCTGCAGTTCTCAGTATTTAAATTAATGAGCTACAAATACTGGAAAAGTGTAGTAGCTACTAAATAATATTCATCTTCACTGTGCATTTACAATGGGAAATAGTCTCTCCTATAACAGGAGAAGCTGTGCAAGGTACTGGAAAAAAATCACATATACAGAAGAAA